ATGTTCTCTAAGTAGCTTGCTGGATCTTTCTAAATGGAAAGTAGTTCCCTTTAGAAAAAAATATTTCAGTAGTTGAAATACTTAATATATTTCTTAATCTGAGGGAAATGAAATATGAGATACAAAAAAAAATATTTCAGTACTAGAATATTGTGGGCATCTCTTTTCCAAAACATTGGCATCTGTGGGTACGGAATGTAAAGTTTTCTCCAACCTGATCTGCTTCTTTGATTTATTTGCTTGTTTGCATTAAAGGCTTCTAACTTGCCTTCTGATTGAATCCAAACAAAGCAAAACAAATCAGTGACATGACAAGCACAGGCAATCAGACTCCAAAAGATGCCAACCACATTACAAGTATAAATTGTCTGCAAAGTTGCAGCAACGAAATAGAAACAAAACAGCAATGTGAGCATTGCAGAGCCATTTGGAACAGGCAGCTTTTCAAAGCCGTTATAGCTACCACTGAACCATCCTTGGTCTCTCCAGGCAGGGGCCCTTCTGGGAAGGACGTCTTCTTTTTGCTTTTTCAACTAATCTTCCACATCAGGGGTGTCCAACCTCTGCAACTTTAAGGGCTGTGGACTTAAGACCTGCAGTCCTAGGTTGCATTAACAGAGGGATAGAATCAAGATCCTGTGAAGTATTAGTATTGCTTAATAAGGCCTTAGTAGTGAGACTACACCTAGAGTACTGCATCCAGTTTTGGTCACCATGATATAAAAAAAAGATGTTGAGACTCCAGAAAGAGTGCAGAGAAGAGCAACCAAGAGGATTAGGGGACTGGAGGCTACAACATATGCTGGAATTGGGTGATGGGTAAAGAAGGACTAGAGGTGATATGATAGCAGAGGTCTGATATTTGAGAGACTGCTGAAGAGGAGGTCAAACCATTCTTCAAAGCACCAGAAGGCATCACAAGAAGCAACGGATGGAAACCAATGAAGGAGAGAAGCAACCTTGAACTAAGGAGACATTTTCTGACAGTGAGAACAATCAACCAGTGGAACCATTTGCCTTCAGAGGTTCTGAGGGCTCCATCACTGAAGGCTTTTAAGAAGGGACAGCCATTTGTCTGAGCAGGGAGTTGGACTAGAAGACCTTCTAGGTACCTTCCAAAATCTGTTATTCTGTTAACTTTCAGAATTCCAAAGCCAGCATGGGAGTTGAAGTCCACAAAGTTGTCAACTTTCCACCTGCTAAGTCAGGGGTCTCCAAACATGGCTGGCTGCGGAATTCTGGGAATGGAAGTCCACAAGTCTTAAAGTTGCCAAGGTTGGACATCCCTGATCATCAACATCCAGGCTAAATAACACACAAGAATTTTTTTGGGTGTGTGTGTGTGTCACGTGGTCCATCAAAAAATTATAGCCAATAATATCTGAACCTTTGGCAGAGATTGGACCCTCTGCCTAGGGTTTACCATGGAGTTACGGTTGGAGAAGATGGCAGGCCATTCACTCGTGCCAGCAGAATTTTAATGACTGGGGAAAGCAACCTTAACCGTTCCATATGTCTTTTTGCCTTGGCAGAAAATTTAATTTTTGTTCTGGCACAGGAAGAGGAATCCCAAATTACAGCAGGTCTCTTCTGTCTTTAATCATTCATCCAATGTCTTCCTGTCCCCTGAGGATGCAGGAAGGCTGCTGAAAAAGCACAAAGTAGAAAGATAGAAGGGAATTGCTGGAAAGAAACACATTAGAATCCAGCCGTACCCTCAGCAGCGAGAATGAAGTAACGGCAACCAGCAAATTCAAGCTTAGCTCAGATGCATTAGCTTCCATCTTGGTCTTGAATGTCTTGGCCCGGTCTGTGGAAATACAGATAGTCCTCGACTTAAGACCACAATTGAACCCACAATTTCTATTGCTAAGCGAGACCATTGTTAAGTGAGTTCTGCCCCATTTTACAGTCTTGCTTGCCACAGTTGTGAAGCAAATGTCCATGGAGATTGTGGACTTCAATTCCCAGAATTGTCTTCAACTGGGAGTTGAAGTCCACAGGTCTTAAAAGTTGCCAAGGTTGGAGATCCCTGATCCAGGTCATTGGTTGTCCCAAAGGTGCTTTTTCAAGAGGCAACTGGACTAACCAGAAAGTCCAGTTACCTCTTGAAAAAGCTCCTTTGGGACAACCATGACCTGGATCAGGGATCTCCAACCTTGGCAACTTTTAAGACCTGTGGACTTCAACTCCCAGTTGAAGACAGTTCTGGGAATTGAAGTCCACAATCTCCATGGACATTTGCTTCACAACTGTGGCAAGCAAGACTGTAAAACGGGGCAGAACTCACTTAACAATGGTCTCGCTTAGCAATAGAAATTGTGGGCTCAATTGTGGTCTTAAGTCGAGGACTATCTGTATTTCCACAGACCGGGCCAAGACATTCAAAACCAAGATGGAAGCTAATGCATCTGAGCTAAGCTTGAATTTGCTGGGTGCCGTTACTTCATTCTCGCTGCTGAGGGTACGGCTGGATTCTAATGTGTTCCTTTCCAACAATTCCCTTCTATCTTTCTACTTTGTGCTTTTTCAGCAGCCTTCCTGCATCCTCAGGGGACAGGAAGACATTGGATGAATGATTAAAGACAGAAGAGACCTGCTGTAATTTGGGATTCCTCTTCCTGCGCCAGAACAAAAATTAAATTTTCTGCCAAGGCAAAAAGACATATGGAACGGTTAAGGTTGCTTTCCCCAGTCATTAAAATTCTGCTGGCATGAGTGAATGGCCTGCCATCTCCTCCAACCGTAACTCCATGGTAAACCCTAGGCAGAGGGTCCAATCTCTGCCAAAGGTTCAGATATTATTGGCTATAATTTTTTGATGGACCACGTGACACACACACACACACACACACACAAAAATTCTTGTGTGTTATTTAGCCTGGATGTTGATGATCAGGGATGTCCAACCTTGGCAACTTTAAGACTTGTGGACTTCCATTCCCAGAATTCCGCAGCCAGCCATGTTTGGAGACCCCTGACTTAGCAGGAGGAAAGTCGACAACTTTGTGGACTTCAACTCCCATGCTGGCTTTGGAATTCTGAAAGTTAACAGAATAACAGATTTTGGAAGGTACCTAGAAGGTCTTCTAGTCCAACTCCCTGCTCAGACAAATGGCTGTCCCTTCTTAAAAGCCTTCAGTGATGGAGCCCTCAGAACCTCTGAAGGCAAATGGTTCCACTGGTTGATTGTTCTCACTGTCAGAAAATGTCTCCTTAGTTCAAGGTTGCTTCTCTCCTTCATTGGTTTCCATCCGTTGCTTCTTGTGATGCCTTCTGGTGCTTTGAAGAATGGTTTGACCTCCTCTTCAGCAGTCTCTCAAATATCAGACCTCTGCTATCATATCACCTCTAGTCCTTCTTTACCCATCACCCAATTCCAGCATATGTTGTAGCCTCCAGTCCCCTAATCCTCTTGGTTGCTCTTCTCTGCACTCTTTCTGGAGTCTCAACATCTTTTTTTTATATCATGGTGACCAAAACTGGATGCAGTACTCTAGGTGTAGTCTCACTACTAAGGCCTTATTAAGCAATACTAATACTTCACAGGATCTTGATTCTATCCCTCTGTTAATGCAACCTAGGACTGCAGGTCTTAAGTCCACAGCCCTTAAAGTTGCAGAGGTTGGACACCCCTGATGTGGAAGATTAGTTGAAAAAGCAAAAAGAAGACGTCCTTCCCAGAAGGGCCCCTGCCTGGAGAGACCAAGGATGGTTCAGTGGTAGCTATAACGGCTTTGAAAAGCTGCCTGTTCCAAATGGCTCTGCAATGCTCACATTGCTGTTTTGTTTCTATTTCGTTGCTGCAACTTTGCAGACAATTTATACTTGTAATGTGGTTGGCATCTTTTGGAGTCTGATTGCCTGTGCTTGTCATGTCACTGATTTGTTTTGCTTTGTTTGGATTCAATCAGAAGGCAAGTTAGAAGCCTTTAATGCAAACAAGCAAATAAATCAAAGAAGCAGATCAGGTTGGAGAAAACTTTACATTCCGTACCCACAGATGCCAATGTTTTGGAAAAGAGATGCCCACAATATTCTAGTACTGAAATATTTTTTTTTGTATCTCATATTTCATTTCCCTCAGATTAAGAAATATATTAAGTATTTCAACTACTGAAATATTTTTTTCTAAAGGGAACTACTTTCCATTTAGAAAGATCCAGCAAGCTACTTAGAGAACATCTGGGTTTAAGGATAGCAAACAAAATATCAAGAGGAGGAGGAGGTTTCTCACAGGGAGAGAATGCTTCTAGTCAATATCCTGCAACTCAAAAGAAAGTAGATGACAGATTCAAGGACATATTTCACAAGCCTACAAGACAAACAAGTCAAAAGGTTTCTTTGAGTTTATTATTGTTCACAGTCTGGAGGTTTTAGATTGCTGAACATTTAGAGAAGAAAACAAGCTTGACTGCATGTTGCAGAAAAAGATGGAAAAAGATGCCAACTGTCTGGAGAAGAAAGATGATGCTCCCCCTGAATCTTCTCCCTTTCTGGCTGAAAGCTTTGCCTTGAGGTCTCTCCTGCTCCTGGAACCAGGATGCCCTCTTCTCTCCTAGCAGGTGCTCTACACGCTGCAGCCTCCACCCAGAGACAAAGCTGCAACCCATGAGAGGAGTTATTCTCTGTGCTCAGAAAAATCCAAGGGCTGCCCTTCCCTGCAAATATTGATTGTCCCACTGCAGTAATCAAGAGGGGAATAGTATCAATTCATTCATTCATTCATTCATTCATTCATTCATTCCATTTATATAGCTGCCCATCTTTCAACCAATTCTGGATGGTTAACAATCAAAGACCAAAAGACAGGTAACATCACATTAAAACTATAAGATTAGATGAACAGAGTTGGAAGAGACCTTGTAGGTCATCTAGTCCTAGTCCAACCCCTCCACACAAGCAGTGCTCTTAAGGTAAAGGTAAAGGTTCCCCTCGCACATAAGAGAGGTTCACTGAATGAGGTGATCAAGGTTGATAGACCCGGCATCCTTTTTTCTCTACAAAATCAACACCAGGCAAACAGAAGACCGGATCAACAGCTCAAAGGCTGCGAGGTGGAGAAGACAGGGCGGGATTTATCGGGACTCACGAATCACACTAAACTGCATTTGCTGTAATGGTGCCTTGAAGGAATCGCAGTTTATATATAGTATTAAGCCAAAGCACAGCATCTACATATGACACTGGCTGGATGTTAAGCATGCTAAGTTTAAAAAGCATATGAAATCACATAAATCCTATCATGGCATGCTTAAATCAAATGCAGGCATGAAGTAGCATTTAAACCAGTACTCTGAAGCAGGGGTCGCCAAAGATTTTTTTTTTATCATGCTTGTCTTCTCCTAGTAGGGATTTCCGAAGCAGCTGCCACCCTTATTGTGTGTGTGTGGGGGGGGGGCACAGAGACACAATCGAGAGAATGAATAACCAGGAAAACGATGCAAGCAGAACTTTTAACGGGAAACACAAATGCAAAAGGGCCATCTATTTAAAGATGCATCCTCGCCCATGACAAATAGACTTCTGAGGTATTGCTTGAAAGTGACACAGGAAGCCAAATGATTTTTCAATAGGAGAAAATCAAGTCAGGGCACCACCTTTGGAAAATCCCTGCATCTAATGTCAATCTAATTGTCAGCAATTGACAAACCAAATAAAATAAATAAATCTGCTTCATTCCTAATGCTGATGGAAGCTGATTGATGGTCTGTGCAGAGGGCTGGGGAGAGGTTGTTGTTTCACTCCCTGAACACAATCTTCCCTAAAAGATTAATAGAGTAACAGGGTTGGAAGGGACCTTGGAGGTCTTCTAGTCCAACCCCAGGAGACGCTACCATTCTGGACAAATGGCTAGCTAATGTCTTCTTAACAGCCACCAGGATTGGATTCCGTAGACCGATTAATTGCTCTATCAGGAAAGTTCTCCTTAGTTCTAGGTTGGATCTCCTGATTAGTTTCCATCTGTTGCATCTTGTTCTGCCTTGATAATGTTCATGCAACTTGATGCTTATTTATCTTCTTTCTTATGGAGTTTTAGCCCAATGTAACTGTACTGCATCAGTTGGACTAAGGCAGTGTTTAAGACCTATGGACTTCAACTCCCAGAATTCAGCTGATTGGGGAATTCTGGGAGTTGAAGTCCACAGGTCTTAAAGTCACCGAGATTGAGAAATCCTGGACTAAGGCATACTCTTTCCCTGAACTCAGAACTCTGGTAGCGCTTTTTTACAACTAAACCTCTTCAAATCTGTTAAAAAGCAGAAGCTTTCAAGAGCTGCATCCGATGAGGCGAGTTGTAGTTCCCAAAAGCTTTTCTTAGCCCCAAAAGGTTCTTCCAGAGTCCACTTGATTCTTGGGCTATTCTAGAGTTACACAGCAATACTTCTACAATTTTTTCCTGAACTAAAACCCTTCCCTGTTTTCCAAGTTAAAGGCAAGAAGAGTTACTTTCAAGCACAGAGAGGATCTAGAAAATAGATTCTATCTAGAAAATAGATCAGAGGTCCCCAAACTTGGCAACTTTAAGACTTGTGGACTTCAACTCCCAGAATTCTCCAGCCAGCATAGCTGAAGTCCACAAAGTTGCCAAGTTTGGAGACCTCTGCTCTAAGGGCACAGATAAACCTCCATGTTTATCAATGACTCTCAGAAAGAGGACTAACAACCAGGGACTGCTAGAAGGATCAATCCTTCTATCCTCACCATTCAGCCAGAACTGAAGAAGTTTCTTGGATGAGAAGTGGAGCATCTTCAAGGAAAAGCAAAGTCCAATTGCCTCTTGAAAAAAACACCTTTGGGACAATCTTGACCTGGATGGTTGAGAATCTCCATAACCAACCTGCTGGATAGTTGGTGCAAGATATTGACACAGTTACCAACAATTTTAAATGTGATTTTATTAATAACTGATTTTTAGCCAGCAGATGACAGGAAGCAGAAAGACTGTCATAAATAAAATATATATTATTATATTGTGTGCTATGCAGAAAGCTAAGAAAAAAAATAAGTCTACAGCATTAAGACTAAATAACTCACTATAAGTTGGGGTTGAGGAGAGAGGGATCTTCTGATAGATAGATAGATAGATAGATAGATAGATAGATAGATAGATAGATAGATAGATAGATAGATAGATAGATAGATGATAGATAGCAGATAGATAGATAGATAGATAGATAGATAGATAGAT